GAAATTGCGTCGTTTTTCAGATCTTGCACTGTTAGAGGCTGTTTACATTTTATTCTGAAAACTAATATTAGGATATTGTAATTTAAGGTAAAATTAAAAATGAGAAATATTTTAATAGAAGATAATGAATACATTTGAGATACTTTCTTCCTTTATATTGTATTTTATGATAGGTTTATTATAAGTAATAAAAATGAGTGAATTATAACATATTTTTAAATATTGGCAATTTGCTTGTTGGCTTTAGTTTTGTGTTGTAAAAGAAAAGCAGAAATCCTGACCACTGGGCTATCTAATGAAACGTTTAGCACAGAATAAAGTTAGAGCTTTTGCATTGTGCCACAGGAGTTATAGCTAAAGATTTGACCCCATGGCTCTGTTGTGTGCCTGCTATTAATGTGGTGGATTTCTTTCTTTGAAACCAGCAGATCCCATGAAGGATGCGTTGCTGGAACCTGTGAAGAAATCAGAATTCTCCGTTTAGCACCAGCCTTTCTCATATCTGTCCTTGTACCCATCTCCTCCCCTCCCCAGCCCTTCCCTCCTATCTGTCTCTCCCTCCCTCCTTCCTTCTTCTGTCTGTCTCAGGGTAATTACTGGTCCAAATACAGGGAATGGATCCTTTTTTGTGCACCTGTACTCATAATGAATGATTTTTGTGTTCCCAAGAGCCTTAGGAATTGTGGCCACTAACTTCATTGTCGTTACATGACTTCTTTAGCCTTGAGTGATGAGTGGTGTGAGAGAGCTCTCGCCATATGTTTTCCTCCTCTGAAGTTACCTTATTATCCTTGCCATTTATATTCACAGAACTAAAAAGATGGGTAATTAGTTTTCCTCCAAATATAAAGCTCAGATCCACATCAAAGAAGTTTCTAAGACGTGAAAGTAGGAGAGGCAGCAGCAAAACCAACAGATAGTTCTAAAACAGATAACTGAGTATAAAGGTATTGTGGAGTCTTTAGAGGACAGTTCTGAATACTGCTCATCTCAGCTTCATTTTTATCAAAATGTTTTCATTTCCCTTTGACCAGTTACTTCGACTTACAAAAAGCTATCCCAAAGAAATAATCGGAAACAATGGTAATAATTTATGTCCATTACCATGTTGTTTTAAGCACTGAAAAATTAGAAACAGCTTAAATGTGTATCTTTGTTCTTTTTCATTATTTTCGAAAGTTTCTACAGTGGACCTGTCAGTGCCACAAGAAAAATGCTTGGATATATTTTCTTAGCTGCCTGTTAAGTGAATATTAGCATTAAGCGTTAGCAAAAATTGTTTCGCTGCCTGCAGAAGATCCACCAGGAGTGCTGCTTTTGATTCTGTTCTCTGTTCAAAGCTTTGCGTCTCCAGTTCTGCTGTTGAATACTGTCGGCAAGCTCCTTGGCCTTAAGTGCCTCTGGGGTGGGATGGGGTGGGGTGGGGTGGGGTGGGAAGGGCAGGGGGCCAGCTGCTAGTGCTTGAGGGAGTGAGGGGAGCGGAAGGGAGCAAGAAAAGTAGGGACAGATGTACACGTGCTGGGATCCATTAAAAGTCCCCAGTAATTTCAAGTGACTACTAAAGTAGATTTTTTAATTGTTTTTGATCAATATATATTTTTAAGTGTCAACTTTATTCCACCAATTCCTTTTTGCTAAATATGATTTTGGATAACTGTTTTCTCTCTCACTTTTTTATTGTTGTTCTGAGTTCTGCAAATTTATAGTTTATCTTTCTCTTAACTTTTGTCATTCACCATTTCTTTTTTTAATCTTCTTTCCATATGAAGAGATTAAGTTGTTTAAATGTCTCTTGCAGCTAAGATTTAATTTTCCTTCTTAGGTATCTTGAAATTCTGCCTTTTGTTATTTTTGCCTAATAGTGACTTTTTCTGTCAGCAGGAATGGAAGCAATCAATAAAAATCAGTTGCTGACTCAATGACTGTATGGGGGGTTTACCATAATGCATATTGGAAATGTCTTTGAGACCCTTTTCCTGAATGGAGGGTGCCATGGCTTGTGTTTTATGGCCTTCTAATGTTGGGCAGTAATCTCATTTAGCATTTTCCCAAAGTGAAAACAGTGCATTAGGGCAGCATAACAAGCATTTAGATCAATACAGAGGCAGAGCTTTGCCCGTACAGATTAATCCAAGCAAAATGTACCAGAATCTACTTCAGGAACTGGGAGACAATTATGTTGATTTCTACTCCTCTTTCCCCCTTTCTACCATCTAATCATCAATACAGGTCGAAATGTATACAAAAAGCATTTCAGAAGATGTCTGCATGCATGTGCATGTACACACACACACACACACACACACACACAGAACAGACTACCAGACAGGAAATCAAGGACCCTGGAAGTGAGTAGTATTGATTTGTGGTGATAAAAGTATATTTTGACACATTTCAAATCATAAATAACTTATGCACTTTAACTTGCATGACTAATAGCTCAACTCAGGGTAAATGCTTATATACAACTTAAATGACCCTTTCTAAGGAGTCCATAGTATTAGATGAATGAATCCCATTGTGAATAGTCTTTCTAAAATTTTAAAAAGTACGCCATCTTCTTATGATGTGTGCAGTATGTGGAAGGAACTCTTTTCGTGCATGTTAGTGGGGAAGGGCCACATATCTGGCTGGGATTGTTCCACTCGTCTCTCCCTGTTCCCCTTCCCCCTGCTTTTGAATCGAAGATATATTGGAGGGATGGTGGTCCTCAACACTAGGATAGACTGCAGCCCTGCTTGCCCGTGAGCTGTTATATGCATTGGTCATATGTTTGCTAGGTGCAGCTGGCTTGATGCTTAATCATATTTTATTCAGTATTTATCCAGATATGTGTCTTGCTATAATCAGTCATTGGTGTCTGTGCTTCTACTTTTCAAAGCACAGCTGACTCCTTTTAGATCGTGATGTTCATGGTAGGGGATTAGGGAAATCCATGTCCAGAAGAAGTCACAGACATCTGAACTTCGAAATCTTAAAGAGAATTGAAACTCCTAGGATCGGATTTAAATTCTGTTCTTAGGTTTTGGCAAAGCAGTAAGGTAATGAATGAAAAAGGAAAAGCGATGTTATGTAAAATTTGTGGGATTATTTTTTCCCTGTATGTCTGCTTTCTTTAGAGGGTAGTAGGAAGTAAATTCTCTCAGGGACCAGTAACATGGTTTGCATTTCAGTTTTCTATTCTAGCAAAATATATATTAGCTTAGTGTGTTGGATAAAAGTAATAAGGAGACAAATCGTCACCCAGGGGTTTCCTTATTGATGAGAAATATTCCTCCTGTGTTCTCTAGGGGTTTTTTAGAACCCATTAAATTTAAAATAATGCTATTTCAAGATTACTATGGAAATAACAAAATTTAAATTTGAAAAAAAGAACTGAAATGAAAGACTGGAAGCCTTTTGCATTAAGCAAAACTAATTTGAAAAAAATATACGAATTTCTAGATTAAAAGTGATAATATGTATTTCCTCTGTGTGTGTTTAGTCCTTATAATCCAAGTTCCTCTACCCTCTTAACAAGAATATTTCGTTTTTGTTTGTATAATTCATTTGGTTTATTTTGCTATCATTTCCAAGTGTATATTATAAGCTTTTTGGAAGCATTTGTTTGGTACTGCATATTCAATGAAAGCAAATCTAAATAAAATCTGAGATTTGTAAATATAGTTAGTAATGTTTTAGCACAGGGAATTAAAAAAATTTTTGTCTCCACCCATTTGTATTCTCAACAATTTATTGCATGACTTCTGTAAGAGGTGTTCATACCAATAGCTGAGGTCACAAAGAAAATAAGACAGTCCTTACTTCTTGGAATTTGCATTCTAGTAAATGCAGACTAGTAAGTTGCACTAGATTCTAGTGTAGTCCATGCTCAGTGCATGGTGAAAGAAGTTAATACAGGATCAGGGGGTCACCATAAAGGGAATGATAGACCCTACCTTGATGGGGAAAGCTAGTGAAAGCTGTATAGAGAAGGTTACACTTCTATGCTTAGCTCAAGAATTGAAAGATGAGTAGATATTTTCCAGAGATATAGAAATGGGTGGGAGTTTGGGTACAGAGCATTTCCAAAATCAAGAGCAGCATGAGCAAAGACATGAAGGGGACATGTAAGAACCAAACTCTGAAAGTGATTTGGTCAGGTCACAGCATTGTGCAGCATGAGGAATTAAGACTAAAGAGTAGGCAGGAATTTGGGGCCAGACGAGTGGCATAGTGGTTAATTAGCACACTCTGCTTCAGTGGCCTGGGATTCATGGGTTAGGATCCCAGGCGCGGACCTCCACACTGCTCATCAAGCCATGCTGAGGTGGCATCACACATACAAGATAGAGGAAGGTTGGTAACAGATGTTAGCTCAGGGTCGGTCTTCCTCACCAAAGCATAAAAAACGAGGCAAGAATTTGTGAGAAGGACCTGCCTATAGACCTTGTTGTACTTTATTGAGAAAGCAATAGAGAGAGATACTGTCTCAGATTTATGTATTAGAAAGAACCTTCTGGAAGGTAGGAATAGAGGGTGGGCGCTAAGAGACAGAGACCAGTTTGGAGGTCATTGCTTGAATCCCGGATATAAATGATTAGATATTACTATAACAACAGTGAGTGTGGAGAAAGAGGACCAGACTGCAGGAACTCGAACTTTGTGACCAACTGGATGTGGGAATGGAAGAGAGAAGTTAGGGCTCCCAGGTTTCTGATGCCGCTGGCTGGGCTGAAGAGTGTTGGCCCTGTTCACAGGGTTTAGGTTTGAATTTAGGCAGGAACGTTAGATACAGTGTCCAGAGAGGCTTGTGGTGGTATGAACTAACGGAACTAATTTCATAGAAATCGTTTACCTTGTGTGATATCTTTCTTTAAAGGTTGAAGAAAATTACTTTCCTTAAACTTTTCTCTACATTTGCAACATTTACATCTTATTTAATGTCTTATATCTTCTTTAGCCTTGATCTTTATTCTGATCAAACCATTTGTCTCAGTGGTCCCTGTTTTTGTTTTCAGGCGGTATGAGTTTCATCCAGTCTGTGCTGATCTGCAGGCCCAAATTCTCCAGTGTTACCGCCAGAACACCCAGCAGACTCTCAGCTGCTCTGCTCTGGCCAACCAGTACATGCGCTGCGTCAATCAGGCCAAACAGGTGGGTGTGCAAGCCAAGCTGCTGGGGCGCCAGAAGAATGGAAAGTCCAACGTCATGGGGCAGTGGTAAGGACTTAGGGGCTAATGTGTGTGAAAGAATTTTACAAACCAAACTAGTCATCATCATCAAGGATTGCTGTAACGAGTCGGTTGGGTCATAATCACCTTCCATCCAGGTGGTTATGGGAAGAGCCCATATTCTCCTTATCCAACTCATTTAGTTGCCGGGAAAAAAAAGATTCTTACTAAAATAATACTTTTTCCAGTTGCTCTGAACTTTTGTCCTCTATTCTGTAATAATTGTGTCCTCAAGGTTATCGCCCCATATTTCTGGGCCAACACTCAAAGCCAGAAGTGAGGAAGGACACAGGTTAAAGGACCAGCAGCTTCGGGTCCATAAGCAGCAAGTAGTCATGCAGAGAGCCTGGTTTAGAAGAACAAAAGACAAACAAAAATCCACCATTTGAGCACTGTTCAATCTTCCACCGGTTGGCAGAGTCCGCTCAGTTGGGCAGTGAACAAGAAGCCAGAGATAGGATTTAGGAAACAGTTTCCATCACTTGTGTATACCATAGCCATATTCTTTTCTTAATCCTTTATATCAGAATAATATGATGTTCATAGGACATGTATTTTCTCTAATTTATATGCTTTAGAAAGCTAATGATAAACCCTGAAGCTGGCAGGTCACATAATTGCCTATCATTTAACTGACTTAACAGTTGGATGTAGGTTGTTCTGAGAGACGGAAATTGTCGGAAACCTTAGTTCTTTCTGCTGACAAGCTCCCTAGAGTTGACCTTCTAACCCAACTAAATCTAGCCTTTGAGTTACACAGCATGCCTTTCTGCAGTCTAATTTGCGGTAGTTAATAATAATACCACTTAGTGTAAGTTTCCAACACTCTGTAAATATCTGATGGGAGGGTTGGCGTTGTCTGGATAGCTGGAAAATAACAGCAACACTAGTAGAAAAATACAATCAAGATTTATTGAAAGCCTATGTTATCTTTAAAAGCCCCATGGCTTGAGGCTCTTTTCTGTTTCTGGCTTGTCGCAGCACTTGTTTAACTCTGAGTAGCATACCAGGGATTCTTTTTCAAAGGTCTTAGGTGGAAGTAGTGTTGCTAATGTTAAGTTAGTACATTCTATTTGTCAAAAAGAGCTTCTGCTATGTTCTTAACAAGCCCCAACCTTCAATATTAGTACTAACTGAAGCACTTGAGACCTATAAGTTGGGCTCTTGGATTTTCCTAATTTGATGTTAGTGCTGTATTGAGGTGGGGGTGGTAGTCAGTGCAAAGAATGGCTGTGACACTGGGATCTCACACCGGTGCCTATTTCCACAGTGTGGTTTGTAACATCACTGCAGTAGCCACTGCAAGGGTGTCTAGAGTATTGACTCTCTCCTGTCTGTCTAGGTTGTGTTGTGTCATCTACACAGACCACATGAGATCAATGGCATATGCTTATAGAATAAAACAAAGTTAACTTGTGACAAAATCAAATATGCCACAGGGTGCAAGAGTTCAAATTGGGTAGATCTGAGTTTGTATCCAAGCCCTGCTTGTTCTCGTTCTGACCTGGGCCTTGATTTTTCTCATCTGTGAATTGGGGTAATGGTATCTCCACTGTTGTTGCAAGGAGATTACATTTATATAAAGTATTCAGTAAATCTTCTATTTTTCTTTCTTTCCTCAGTTGTATTATTTCATGTTGAAACCAACTAAACAGATCAGCCAAAAGCATCAAATTATTACCAATGATTCCAAAAGACACCCTCTTTTCCCTCCCACCCAATCTGCAATATAATTTATTAGTATTTTCAGTGAGTATGTTTCAGGTGCCTGTTTGATGACTCTTATATTCAAGTATTAGGACTGTATAATACCAGGTAATGTTAAAAAGATTTATGTCCACAAAACCTTTTTATCGTAAGATAGGCAACATTGAAATGGGCAAGGGCCAAGAAACAATACCTTGTTATTTCTATAGTACTTTAGATTTCAAAGTGATTTCACATCCATTCTCTTACTTGTTTTTTATGACAACCTGAGATGTAAATAGAGAGGTTTTATTTTCATCATTTTGCAGTTGAGAGAATTGAAACCCAGGGAAGTCGTGATGGTAAATTTAACAGCTAGACCAAGATATACCTTGCCGTAAAAACAAAAAATTTAAAAATAAGTAGTGTTTGGTTTTTGAGTTGGGTGTGTGAAGGGACATCCATTATCCACTAATACAGCAATAAAGCTGTGAGGGAAAATGTGAATGATGATCGTGAAGTGAAGGGAGAAAATTTGAAGATCACATTAAGTAGCAATGGAGACTGCAGATACCATGGGAGAGTGAGATGATGAAGGTCATGAGCAGAGGTGTAGGGCAGCACTGCCCCATTTTAAGACCATGCCAGAGTGGCCACCAGGAGTTTGTATTGGTATTTCATGAGTAGTCACTTTTCCTCAAATACCACGTTTTCCTTTTTCTCCTCGTGAAGTCAGTCTAACCTCGTGACCTCAGCTCTGCCTGTTGTAGAAGACACTTCAGCATATACGTGGTCCTGATCGTCGATTGTAGCAGTTCCTGACCAGTCCACTCCCCTTCTTATGTTTCCTTGTTAAATCCGAAGAACAAGCTGGACGTGCTAACATGGAAAATACTAAACACAACAACCCGTTAGATCATGTTGTCCATTTCCGGCATAGTGGGAGAGTTTTCCCCCTGGAATAATTCCAGGAGCCAAATCCATCCACTTTTAAATGTCTCATAAGATTGGGCTTTCACTGGTTCCCTTGGGGCAGTTCTGTAGACTAATAGATTTTACCGATAGGAAAATTTCCGGATGTTCCTTAGCCTTACTTTTTCTTCATTATCCACCCACTTATTCACATCAGTCTTTCTTCAGCTATTCTTAAACAATTCCTCATGGGTTGACATGAGGCATTTAGACTGTTACTTCCAGTATATTAAGTTATGTGTTCTTCGTGAGAGTAAAGAGATATTAAATTGCTATAATTATTATTTCTAAGACTTAAAAGCTACTGGCTAGCTATATGAGATACAGCATTTAAAAATGTAAGAAGACATCAATTGATAGACTTCTATGTCTTTTATTTCTTGTATCTGCTTAGCTTCATAGCTTTCTATGAACTCCCAAGATTGAACTACCTGTTTTTACCATTAAAATCTGATTCCCGTTCAGTCTTGCCTCACCTACCTTACAGGAGACCATGGAAAGGAGGGGAAATGGGAAGCTAATAGCGTTTGCCCACTAGAGGACTGAAATGTGCCCAAGTTCTGTTTATAAATGGGGAGTGTGTAGAAAGGGCTTCCCCTCAGGTCTGCATTGCCTGTGTTCCCTGGAACACCCCACTGCCCCTCAATTTATCTGCAGAATCCAGCTGCTCAGGGGGCAGCAATTCTAAGCATTCCAACTCTTTTCCCAGCCCTGCTGCTATTGACAGAAAGGTACAAAGCTGGATGGACTCTTGGGGAACATTCTGTGTTCACTGGAGGGTGGGGTTTATGGGAAATGCTGTAGCTAACATTCCAATCTAGTCCTGGTGACCTGGGCTTCAGTTTCTTCTTTAGTAGATAAAGGGTTTGAACTAAGTGATCCACCAAGGCCTTCCAGCTCCTTTACTCTAGGACTGATTCCACATCCATTTATGAGAGCAAGAGGTGTGCACAAGCACACATGTTGTGAGCACATTCAGATTAAGAGATATGGGCTGTTTAGTGCAGGCAGCACCCCTGCTTTGGGGACCTCCAGCATTTGTGCCTCTGCCTCTTAGATTTTGCTGTCAGCCTTAAGCTTTCAATCCCCAAGCCCTTCTGATTGGTCTGCGTATTGCCTGGCCTCCCACAGCTATGTACCCTTTCCTTGAAGCCAGTACTCCTGACAGCTCTGAGGAAGCCAAGGTGGCAGAATGAACTGAGAGAGGGTAAAAACAGTTTCACTGTTTCTCCAAAGTCAGTGACGTGAAAAATGGCTATCTGAATGCTGCTTGGCAGTGTGTAGCCTGCCAGCTAATGAACTGCATTAGAAAATGTGGGCTGTCTACTTCTAGCCAGCCCTAGGCCCCTTTGTACTGTGATGACTTTCACTCTAGGCACCAGAGACCATGGGTGGTGAGGGACTGTGGAGACGGAGCAGCAAACCAGATCAGAAGAGCCAAGGAAAGACCAGGACTTTCCTTGAGAGGCAAAGGCCAGACCCAGGAGATGCCCAAAGGACAGAGGTCAGCGCAGAGCCTGGAGTCAGATTCTGGAGGCCAGTCAGGAGTTGATAAACCAAAGCAGAGGTTTAAATCAACAACAAGTCAAGCAAACAGCTCGGCTGAAGGAAAGACCAAAGTGAAGTCATCTTATAAGTAAAGCAGCCCTCACTCAGGCCTATATGCTTCTTTGCTGGTGTCTTTGAGGAGACCAAAAACTGACCTGGTTGTAGTGGGGAGCATGGGGTGAAGACTCGGATAAGTGAGGCTAAATCCAAGCATGAAGCTCCTCCATCCCAAGGCTGGTGCACCCTGGTCTTCATTTTGAAAATGTGAATGATACCTCCAAGTCTATAGCTAACCTCTTAAATAGAAAACCTTAAGATCAGTGCATCTGGAGGAATTTACCGGGGCAGAATTTGTCAGCCTTCTTAAGGACAGTGTATTTTATCTCCCCTCTGACTTGGATTTGTGTTAGACCAGGGCTCAAATATTTGAAAACATAGTAGTAGCTATCAAAATTCTTGAAAGCAGAACCTAGTGCCAGAGCAAGCTGTATTTTATCATTGTTTTTAGATGAACTATAAATTACCTGCAAATGATTTAATAGACACATAGGCTGTTGGAGCTAGAAAGAGCTTAGAAATCACATTACCTAATAGCATCTTTTCCCATGGAAAAATCAGCACCCAGAGAGTTTCACTGATCTGTAGGTGGGTGGAGTCCAGATCGCAATAGCCTGCTCCTGATGCCACACCCAGTGCACTCTTCCCTGTGGAGTCAGA